TGCTGACTCCTGATCTTGAACTATGCATTTATGTTCCCTATGTAGATAATCTTTTGTATTTATACATTGCCTCCATTGGTTTTCTGCTCCTGACCTGTTCACTGTCATGTTAATGGTTTATTATTATTATTTTTCCCCTGCCCTCTCTAATATGTTTTGTCCATGCTGCCCAGCTGCTCAGCTGTCCATCAGTACAACCACCAACTCATTTCTTTGTCTGAGAGTCTGATCACGTAACCTTGATCATGCAAGAAGCTCCCCTGCATGCAAGATCAGGGCCTTAATTTTTAATAACGGACCTACCTCACCTGCAGATTTTCTGATATTTTATTTGAATTACTGTTCACTTGACTCAACTGAATAGTTCTTATTATCAGTTAGTTAATTCACTACCAAGTCATTTGACATTATCTAACCTGCTTTATGATGTCCCTTAATTAGCTGCTCTTTGTCATGCACACTTGTCATTTTTGTTTTTCCCTCTCTGCAATGCTGCCTGTCCCCGCCAAGTGCTGTAATGATGCTTTTATCAATCTCCTTGTGTGTCTTTGTTTTCTGTCTATGGGTAAGGAGAAGGGGCAGAAGCTAGGATGTGATGGTGGTGAAAAGGTACCTAGCAGGAGCAGTTGAGATGTGCATTGGGCCACTTGGTTACACTGGGAGCAAAGGTGCAGTCTGATTTGGATCCAGTAAATGTTAACTGGGTCACCTCATCTCAACTACTTGAGGTTCAGGTGAGGGTAATGAGAACAACACAAGGCCTGTAAAGACTCTCCTGTGAAAAGAGACTGAAGAGACTGACATTTTTTCTTTAGAAAAGATAGTTAAGAGGCCACAAAATAAAAGAACTAAAGAAGGCAGATCAGGAAGTCTTTGCTTCTCCTAGTTCATAGTACAAATAGCAAATTGAAAACTAATAAATATTCCCCCACTCCTCTCCTCCCTTGCACAGAAATTAAGCTGTAGAACTCATTGCCACAGGGAATCACTGAAAACAAACTTAAAGATTTCCTAGATTTCATAGACATTAGGGCTGGAAGGGACCTTGGAAGATCATCGAGCCCAGCCCCATGCTGGAAGGGCAGGAAGTCAGCTGGGGTCATAGGATCCCAGCAAGATAAGCATCCAATTTGCTCTTGAAGGTATTCAATGTAGGTGCTTCAACCACCTCCGATGGCAGGCTATTCCAGAACTTGGGGGCTTGGACAGTAAAGAAATTCTTCCTTATGTCCAGCCTGAAACAGTCTTGCAGTAGTTTATAACCGTTTGGCCTCGTCATCCTTTGGGGCGCTCTGGTGAACAAACGTTCCCCTAGATGCTGGTGGTCACCCCTGATAAACTTATAGGTGGCCATCAGATCACCCCTGAGCCTGCGCTTTTCCAGGCTAAAGAGCCCCATAGCTCTCAGCCTGTCGTCGTAAGGTCTGTTTTCCTGACCTCTGATCATGCGTGTGGCTCTTCTCTGGACTCTCTCAAGCTTCTCCACATCCTTTTTGACTTGTGGGGCCCAAAACTGGACGCAGTACTCCAGCTGCAGCCTCACCAAGGCCGAATACAATGGGAGAATGACGTCCTGGGATTTGCTTGAGAAGCATCTACGGATGCAAGCCAGCGTTTTGGTCGCTTTACTAGCCGCAGCATCACATTGAAAGCTTATGTTCATCTTGTGGTTAATGATGACCCCCAAGTCTCTTTCTTCCCTAGTGCTAGCCAGTATAGCTAGCCGAGACGATAAGGATGCTGCAGGTTTTTCCTCGGAAGGTGGAGAACCTTGCATTTTTCAGTGTTAAACACCATCAGGTTCTCGTCTGCCCATTTGCTGAGCCTGTCCAGGTCAGCCTGGATCGCCCTTCTGTCCTCAGGTGTGGATGCTTTGCCCCAAAGTTTGGAGTCATCAGCAAACTTGGCCAGTCCGCTTCTGACTCCAGTGTCTACATCATTAATGAAGATGTTGAACAAAATAGGTCCAAGGATAAAGCCTTGGGGGACCCCACTGGTCACAGGGCACCATGACGATTGACTTCCGTCAATTAACACCCTCTGGGTCCAACCACAGAGCCGATTTCCCAGTCAGTGGATTGTGGAGGACCCAAGGCCACAACTGGCCAGTTTCACCAAGAGGTGATCATGGGACACCAGATCGAAGGCTTTTTTGAAGTCAAGATACATGACATCAATCTCTTCTCCCTTGTCCAGGTGATAGGTCACCTGGTCATAGAAGGAAATGAGATTGGTCAAACAAGACCTACCCGCAACAAACCTGTGCTGGCTATCCCTCAGGATGTTGGCGTCGACCAGTCCATTAAGGATGGCCTCTTTAATAAACTTTTCTGAGACCTTCCCCAGGATAGAGGTCAGGCTGATGGGCCTATAGTTTTTTGGATCCAGTTTCCTCCCTTTTCTTAGAGACATCCAAACAATAATGGAATATTTATATGGGTATCTTTATATCCAGTTTTATTTACTAATGCCAACTAAGTTTAGAAAGGGATTTAAAATTCATGCTTCAGGTTTAACCAGTCTATCTACTACAGATCAAACTGAGCCATAGTGGGAAGAGGATGCAGAGAGAATCACACCAACTACTTGCAGGGATCTTGCATCATCCTCTGAAACAGCTGGTGCTAGTCACTGCCAGACAAGAACCTGAAGTATATGGGCCTTGTGTTTGTTCCAGTTCCTATGATTTTATTACTCCATCCTCCCTGTCATAAAACCCTCCCCTTGCCACCTTATTTCCAGCACAAGGTCTACAGCATCGGTATATGGGGCCTAACACCTACAAAGAATTTTAAACTATTAGAGAAATTACACTGGAGAGTGAAAAACAGGTGTAACTCAACCTGAAATGTAAAGGTAAATAGTAGGATGGCTACAATTTGTGGAGACCATGCTGAAAGGGCAAGTGTATTTACATTCACAAAGTGCCTGGAAGAGTTGTTCACGCTTGAAAACAGGCACCCTTTCATTCCTGGGCAGAGATTGCACAAGTTGTCTGCTATGCCAGAGAAGCAAAAAACACACCTGGAATTTCAGGATGTGGCTCTTTTCCTGTAGCCCAGGACTTTATGATTTGCCAAAAGAGAAGAAAAGAGGCTCCAAATTAGGAACTGTAGCATACTACAAATATTTCGTAGGTATTTTGTAAGGAATGATGGAGACAAAAGTAGAGGATGAGATGGGACCAAGCCTACTTCAGATGTTGCTATCTCTATCACCTCGTGTACATTCCTGATCTTAGAGTGTGGAACTGAGCCAAGAGAGGAGACTCTCTAGAATTTGTACTCCCACTGCCAGAGACCAAAAATCCCAGGGAAGAGAAGACTGATAGCAGAAAGCAAGGGGTTGAAGCTACCTACAAGAGGAAACAGCCAGGCAGACTGGTCTTATTGAAAAGGCACTGGAATTTTATGTTGTCAGGGGGGAAATAGAAGGTACTTGAAATAAGAGAGACTGTAAGCCTCAAGCCTAGCTGTACAATCCATTCAACAGGGACTGGCTGGAGTGAAGGTGGAAGGAATATGTTAGTATACAGGTCACCGGTGTATCCTGAGAACAACACCCTTTGCTGGGAGAATTCACAAAGGCAAGGCTGGCTATGCCAAAGAGCTTCAGGGAACAAATGCTTTAAACATTGGGTATTTACTAGTTCTTGGGCAGGGCATAGATGGGGCCATGAGGGCCTGAATCTTTTCACTCTCTTCTCCACTGAAATTAGAAACCCCTCTGATTTAAAAAAAAAAAAAAATCACAAGCTCACATCATATTCCCTTGAGCAATTATGGTGAGCTGCCTAGCCCCAAGTGACTGCACATTCCAGGGTCATAATTCAAACTGAAATGCACAGCCCTACCCTACCCACTCTGCAACTTGAGGAAAAGGGAGGTCATCTCACTCTTCCAACTCATTGATGCCAAGAATCATGAGTTTGTGCAAAACATAAAAACAGCATGCCTAATATTAAACTTGTGATATAATTAAAAATTTGGCAAGTCTGCAATGGTACCTCACCTTTCTGTCGGATCCCTTTGAGAAAGAATCATGGAAGGCAAGAGCTCCTTCCAGGAGCTGGCTGGGGGGAGGGCAATGTCCCGACTGAAGAAAACAGTTCCTACTGGATATGGTACTGAGAAGCGTCAGGAGATAGCAGGGAAGCAGTTGTTTCATTGTGGGAAGCCAAGCAACCGTTTACATTCTCTTCATATGCCTAGCACCTTTTGTGCCACCAAATGTGTTATGGGTCACAGGAAGGACAGGTGTCTCAAGCAACTCCCAACATCTTTTCAACAACCTCCTGTTCTCAGTCAGCACAAAACTTTTCCTCTCCAGACCCACAACCTCTAACTCTAGTTCCCTACTCCCATTCAAAAACAAAAACTCTATCCTGCTGATAAGAATTGTCAGGCTAAATGTCCACATCTCATTTTTCTCTCTGACAGATTCTTGAGAGGACAAGTATAAGAAACAGAGTAGACTGATCCATCCCCTCCCAGTACCTATGAGTAGGTTTTACCTCTAAGTATTGGGTTTAACGGTTTCTGATAGCACTATTCTCAACAAATGCAACTAATTCTTTTGCTATATTACTGATCTCCACAACCATCCTGTGGCCTGAAGTCTGATGTATTGATTGTGTAGTTCACATGTTAAAAGACCTAAATAGTTCCTTACTCACTTTTTAAACCATTTCTCTTAGACTAAAAACAATCTGCTTGATTTGGATGTGACTATTTTGTCCTACAGCTATCCCCAGAAATTCCAGATGGAGGAGCCCATCTTTCCACATTAAGCACCTGTGATGCATCCAAATTAACTCTAAATTCATTGCCAATTAAGCCTCCTGTGTAAGTGACTGCCACACACCTGTTTTGATTAGTTAAATCTCAGACTAATCAACTCTAGATTAAACCAGTTGTCTTGTTTTCAGCCTTAGAGACTTATATTATCTTCTATTGCAGCCATT